ATTTGGATGGCAATAAGGAATTTAATTTGAATGATGAAGGTATAAAGCATAATTAATTAAATATATTAAAATTAAGAACAAAATATGTAGGTAATGGCTATTGTTTATTGGTAGTTTCATGTTTGTGCTTAAGATTATCAAGACTCATTAATATGGCTACGAAACAATATTGGACAAGATAATATTTTACATAAATTGTGGAAAGAAACATCAGAATTTCGGTTATTAAAAGACAGAAATATTAATATGATGACAACATATATAGGTGTGAGCAAACCCACTGGTCATATTCTGGTTAGTTTTATATTTAGCCTTTTAAGTAATCTCGTTATATTATAATATAACTTTTATGAGAATATAACCATTGTTTCATTGTTTTAGATTGATATAGATTTTATTAGTTTATATTCTGGAAAAGAAACAAATTTATTTCAAAAATTTGAAATATTCAAAGAAAAACTAAAAAAAAATGTTAGAAATTAAAAAATTTAGTTATATTGACACAAACCTAATCAATAGATTAACTACACCTAATAGACCAGTCATGTTCTTGTTTTAATACATGCAATTATTTTACCTGGAGGTTCATTAATTTTACAATAATTTGTAGGTGACGATGATATTGCTGCACTAGAAACTCAACCTGTGAGTATAATTGTTCAAAAACCTGGTAATGTACGTCATACTATTAGGTCATCGAAACTAGAACAAGCATCTGCGTTTATCACCCAAGTCACAGTAAATTTGAAGTGAAAAATCATCTAATACTCCATTTTCATTCTACACAATTATAAACGAGACTCATTTCAAAGTGGAAACCATTTTGAAGGCGTTTGATGTCTGCTTCAAAAGCTTCCATACTCTAAACCTCAAGTATCCATTTGAAGCAGAACAAGTTTGGCGATTTATGCAAGTATATTTCTACGAAATACCAGAAAGTAGGGTTGAAAAAAAGTACTTAAGTGTTAGAAGTCTCATTAATGATTTAAATAATTTGTAAATGTTATACCTATTTCACTATATTTAACTATTCATTTCATTAAATAGTATTAAATATGTTTAATTGTTTTTTGTGTGAGAGTCAGTTTGGGCTATCAAGTCACTTATTTATACATTTAAATATATTTCATAATTCTAAAAGTTTAAAATAATTTAAATGCAAACAATCCGATTGTTTCCGAATTTTTGGATCTTTAGATTCTTTTAAAAAACACATTAATAGCCATCCACTTATCTCTATTAAAAATAATATTACAATTGACCAAGAAATTAATATTGATAATTATCCACCTATCTTAACTAATAGCACTGTACCGTGTAATTTTAGAGTAATATGTTAACCGTTAGATGAAATTGATCCCTTTTTATCTTCACACGACTCATTAAATGAAAAAAAAATACAAAAGAATGTTATTAATTTGGTTTCAAAGTGGTATAGTAATAGTGCAATACCCAGGAACATGGTTCAGACACTTCTTGATGATGTGCAACATTTTAATAACTCTATTTTGATTGATGTAAAAACTAAAATAAATTGTATTGTTAATAATCCTAATCCCGCCAATATTGCTACAGACCTGTCTCTAGTTTTAAATGCGCTTGAAACTTTATCAAATCCTTTTGATAATTTAAAAACTGAATATTTTCGTTTGCAAGCTTTGGAAGATTTGGGGTTACTTATACGACCTAAGCAAATCGTAATTGGTTATAGGTTAAATGACCATCTCCAAGATGGAGTTGTGGTATTAGATCCAAAGCCAGTTACAATAGTTTTAACTCCCTTAAGATTTGTCTTGAAACAATTATTCGAGCATTCTAACTTTTTTGATGTTATATTAAAATATACCAAGGAGCTTCTAGCATACGACGGCGAGGTGATTTATAGTTTTGTACAATCACAGCTATGGAAAAAAAAATTAAGACTTAATGAAAATAAAATTATTTTCCCTTTATTTCTTTACTTCGATGATTTAGGCATTAATAATCCGCTTGGTTCACATGCTGGGAACCAAAAACTTGGAGCTGTTTATATTTCCTTGGCTTGCTTACCACCTGAACTATCTTCTTTCTTAGATCATATATTTCTTGCCTCATTATTTAAAACAGACGATAAAAAACAGTATGGAAATAAGAAAATATTTAAAGACCTAATCTCAGAACTAAATTCTTTAGAGACTATTGGAATAGACATAATAGTAAATAATGAAAAGTTTAAAACTTTTTTTTCTATTGGTTTGATATTGGGGGACAATCTTGGCATACACTCCATACTGGGGTTTGTAGAAAGTTTTGTCGCTAGATATCCTTGTCGATTTTGCAAAAGTTCAAAATTTGAATGTAAACAACAGCTATTGCAAAATTATATTAGTTTAAGAAATTCTTTTAACTATGAAAATGATATTATAATTAACAATGTATCTGAAACAGGTATTAAAGAGAAATGTATTTGGAATGATTTAAATTCTTTTTGGGCAACTGAAAATTACAGTGTAGATATTATGCATGATATGCTAGAGGGTGTATGCAAGTATGATATCGGATTAATTTTAAAATACATGGTTTTTGACTTTAAGTACTTCACTGTAGAAATATTGAATAATAGAATCGAAACTTTCAATTATGGTCCAATACCCAATAAACATATAAACCTTAAATAGAACATTAATTAAAACTAAAAAAAACAACATTAAACATTTAATTAACCATTTAATACTCATTAAATTGCATTTTAATAAACATTTATAAACCTTACACTTAACATCATTTGAACCAATTTTTAAGACTTGATAACACATTATACTGCAAGGTTTAATTCAACATTACACCACAATGTTATCAGACACATTGCACTCCTACGCTTAATTCAACATGATAATGTACATGGTAAATCCAACTTCACACCAAAATGGTTTAAGGAATATTGCATTTGAATGTTGAATTCAACATTATATCATCAAGTTATAAACAACATTGCATTTTTAGGTTGAATTAAATATCAGTTTAAATCTGTGATTTTACTTATATTTTATAATACCTATATTTTTTTAAATAAAATACATACACATTTTAACAATAGAAAACATGATTTATTAAAAATAAAAAGTATAATATGTTTAGTACATTTGTTTATTTTATTTTAATAATGCTGCATTCTCCTGTTCGGTTTTTCGTTTTAAACGAAATGGTGCTTGAATAAGCATATACTTTATAGCATCGTCAATCTCCTCTTGCCGTACAACACCCTTGAATTTCGACATTTTTTTGGTGGCTTCTAAAATGAATGACATTAAAATTATAATTATACTATTATTTAATACATTTTCAGTCTAAAATTTACCATCTATTATTTTATAGAAGCCCAATGACTGGAAAGATTTTTTTGATGTTAACTTTCTTCCAGCAAATGAGAACTGGGCCAATAATTTATCATCAAACAGTTGTATCATCATTTTCTTTACTGAAGAGTTTACATTTTTCTCACCAATATTGTTGGATAGATCATGAACCTAAGTGAATTTATAAAATGTAGTTCATATACATAATAGTCTAAAAAAGATAATTTAAATAAAATATTAACATATTGTTAAGCACAATATAATACATATATTATCACTCACAATTTTTTTGCGATATTCAGTGTCTAATAAAATTTGTTCTTCTATTTTATTGAGATCGTCTAGACCTTCTATGGGGTACAAATCAGCCATAGGGTTGTAATCGATAAGTGAATTATCTCCATTCGAAAAAATTTGTTTGTTGGCTTGATCTTCAAGCATTTTGATAATAACATCCTGTTTTTCTTCAATTGTTCTCAGTTTGAATTTGAAAATTAATTGGTTTCTCATTATTGTTTTAAGAATATCATCTGCAAAATTAGACCAATTTACAGTTGAATATAATATATATAAATACAATATTATACCAGCTTACATAATAAATAATATCAATCACTATTCAACAATAGTACAATAATATCAGTTAAAAAAAATCGAGTTTTATTTCATATTTTATTGTAATCATTTAACAATGAAAATGTAGAGTAAAATATCTTTATAACAGATCCTTTTCTTAAAGATTCAATCAGTTCAGATCACTTGAGTAATTCTATTTTGGGAAAATATTGTAATATATGCTTGAAGTTAAGTACACGTACTTGCCCACCAATATGACTAAACAAAAAAAAACTACCTACTGTATAAGTCTTCATTAATATTTAGGCATTAAGTTTATATTTTAAGACATTATGTGATGATTCTATATTTCTATCAGTAATTTTGAAATAAATCAAAATCAATAACTTAAAATTAAACAATTTTATTAATAATACTAATATACCTATAACTACAAAGAAATCACAATTTAAAAACGGAATACAACTTGATTTATATGGTCTATTTATTATCTATAACAATAAATTGAATTGATAGATAAATTGAAAATTAAAAATATACCTAATATAATATTTACCAAAGTTTAGAAATAAGCAAAAGTAGTGAACTATAATAATTTAACATTAAGAGGCCGTCACACCCGTATGTACACCAGCATAATGAACGATATATTAGGTATAATGGAAAAAACGCAAGTTTGTAAGACGGAGACAACACATGCGGGTGTGACATCATCTTAATGATAATAATATTACTAATATTAGTACCATTTAAAGCTATTGAATGAACTTTTTTCTTGAATAATGCCTGACTTTTGATTTTTTTAATGGAAGAATTCTTTTGTTTGAATTTGGGAGATCTTGTTGAATTCACACGAACAGGAGTTAAACATAAAGAATCAATAGCTGAAAAAAAAAGTTTTTACTTAGAAAATAAACAATACTTAATATACACACAGGCGCGTAGCTAGAAATTTCTAAGGGGGGGTGTTATTCAAAATTAATTAAAAAAATTATACACACAAAATTGATAACTTTACGTAGGTATATTTAAATTTTTCACATAAATATAATTATGATTAACACAAAAAAAAAAAAAAAAAATTTTTAATTAAATTAATTTAATGCGTCTATTTTTTAAAGCTAGAGTATCAATTATTTCGTCAGTGGTTACGACTAAATCCCGATGAATATTCATAACTGCTAAGCCGTTCAACCGATTTTCACCAGTCGTGTTCCTCAAATATGTTTTTAAACGCCGTAATGAGGAAAAAGATCTTTCACTGCTTGCAGTGGTTACTGGTAAAGTAATCAATATTTTTAAAAGTTGATGAACCGTAGGAAATATTTCTTCATTGCAATTAATGAATGCTTCCGTAGCATTTTTAGGGTTTTTGTTTTTCACCTGATGATGCCATATTGTAAACTCGCCAATTGCAGATACTTCATCAGCTTCAATATCTGCAGAATATGTCTTTAAAAGCTCTTTAAATTCGGTCTCATTTTTCTCGTTTGCATTTATTAAACAAGTAAATTGTTTTAATAATGCTTTATGGTTCAAAAATCTTTCATTTAGTTGTTCACAAAAATTATCTAAAAAAGGTATGAAAATCAAAATCCTAAAATAGTCTTCAGGTGATTCTGTTGAAATATTTAAACGATTTGTCCGGTTTATAGCTAGTCGAGGTATTGAAATTATAATCCCCAATGACTCACATTTTTTTTCAACATCACTGTATATTATTTTAAATTCTTCTGCAGCATTAGTACGCAACAAACATACTGCACTCATAACATTATCTGCAAGTTCCATTGATATGGACAAATCTATATCTTCTTTTTGAAGTTGACGACTTAATGGCATACTTAATGAAAACACTTTTGCAAGAATGTGAATGGAAAGTAGAGTTTCTCCTTGTTTTAAAGAGAAAAGTATACTGTTTGCTTTTGAAGATGTTTCTCTATCAATCCATGTTTAAATAGTTTCTAAAGAGTCAATTATTGAATCAAAAAGTTCTAAAAATACTAATATCGCTTCATGTCGTTCAACCCATCTTGTTGGGCATAACATTTTTAATTTAGTTTTTTTTGAATCTGGAGCAATTTGTTCTACAGAATTTTGCAAAACAGCCTGTCTTTTAGGCGTGTTAAAAAAACTACAAACTGTCTGAATAATTCCAACAGCATTACGAATTGATTTTACATCACATGCATCAGATATAGCTAAGTTTAATGAATGACTACAGCAGTGTATATATAAAGCTAATGGGTAAGATTGTTTTATTATTGCTTGCACTCCATTGAATAGCCCTCGCATGGCAGAAGCTCCATCATACCCTTGGCCTCTGAGATAATTTAAGTCAATTCCTAAATTTCCAAGACATTCAAGCAAAACTTGAGCTAAACCTTTTCCACTCATATCTGTTACTGGTACAAATTGAAGAAAATCCTCTCTTATTTTGTTGGTATCTTTGTCAAAATACCTAACACACATAGAAAATTGTTCTATCCCAGCTACATCCGTTGTTTCATCTGCCAAGATTGTAAAGCATTTTGCCTGATTTATTTTAGTAACAAGCTTCTTAATAACTAAACTGTTTATCACATTTATAATTTCGTTTTGTATATCAGGACTGATGTAAGTTGCATTTTTTGGAAGATTTTCAAAACAATTTTTTAATTCATCTTTGCTATTCATAAGAACATATTTTAATATAACTCTGAAGTTTCCCTCATTATTGGATAGGAATAAAGAACTTAAATCAATAGGACCACTGTCTGTATGTCCCCTAAGAGCAATACCTTGTCTACCACAGAGTAAGATTGTTTCTATTATTGGTCTTATCATTTTTCTATTTTTTTCAATTTCTAGTTTTAATTTAGAATCAAGTTTAACAGCAATACTTTCTTGTTTATTTTCAAATACAGACAAAAATTCATGAGCTTTTAATGTGGCAGTAATATGATAATTTGTTTTTTGATGGGCATTAAATTTTTCTACAGCACAGTGCCAATTACTAAATTTTTCGAAGACAAGTTGACCTAGTTTTTGAGTATTGACTTCTTTTGGACAAAACAACATACAATATTTACAAAAAGCACCATCGCAAGATACTGAATAAGCCAACCATTTCCATCTACTAAGCCAATTAATTTGAAATTTAAGATTCCTTTTACCACTACCAGGAAACTTAAATGTTGTATCAGGATTAAATGTGTTCTTTAAAATGTTATACCGATGAGAAGAGTTAACCTTAAAAAAATAAAACAAGCAATAAGCGTTAAGCATAGTTGTGCCACAGATTACATGACTACAGAATTAGATGCAATTAGAATTAAAATTGAGTTAATTTGATAACTTGAAAAATTGAATGCCCCATGCATTATGTATTTAGGTATATAATATAATATGTGCAGATCAGCAAAAAGTACAGAAAGCATAATATAATTATTTTAGAGATATATTGTACATTTTAGTTATGCAGCAAATGTATTCAATAATTATTATCAAGAAATCAAGGTGCAAAAAAAGCATTATTTTGATAAAAAACCTGAAATAAAAGTTACTTAACAATAATTATAATATACTAAATACTTTACTTTTACTATTTAAACAGTGATCTCTGAACTACAGTATACTGTACTATTGCTATGTTTCTTTTTACAAATAAAGTAAAAGTGTTAACACATTGTATTATACGCACTTATGTCATATTATACTGATATACATATAAAATAGTTAATATTAATTATTTTAAAATATTAAATATATTAATATTAATTTATTTTACTAGGTATTAGGTATACCGTATACAAGTAAATATATTTTCTACCTGAGACGTGGGCTGTTCAAATTGACCAATAAATAAACCAATATCTATTTGTGTAGGAGTAATAACTGTTTGATGAGCAGATGGTAGAGCAGATGCTGATGGTTCAATCTAATAAAATTTAAATTTAAAATTTACACAAAAAATATTAATACATGCAAGTATTTGATTCATAATATTTACTAATTTGTTATTTTCATTGTGCTGTTCAGACATGGATTGTGAATTGTGATTGAATGGAGTTAATGCAGATTCAGCTAATGATACTACCACTTCCGTTTCATTCTTATTAAAATTAAGTCATTTAATTGGTATAACACATAATAGAATCATTTTCAATTTTTACAAATTTAAACCACTTACTAATTTGTCATTTTCGCCTAGATTATCAGTTTGTACTTTAGGTGTTTTTGTGTAGTATGATAAAATAGTGCTTTTTCTTTTAATACCTTTCTTTGTAGGCTCCATAGTTCACAATTATTTAAAATTTAAAAAATGTTGAACTTATTGGCTATTGCAAACATATAACACTTATGAACATAATAACATATTTTATTAACTTACTACCTCGTACTCAATCTCCCCGTTGTACTCCACCACTTCCACATTCTCCTCCACCTGACCGTCTGGCACTTCCATGACCTCCATCCGGACCTCCACTTCTTCCTCATTGTCATCAACCTCGTCCTCAAAGCCGAAGAGTTCCACCACTTCCACTTCCACATTCCCCTCCACCTGACCGTCTGGCACTTCCATGTCCTCCATCCGGACCTCCTCTCTATCCACATCCTCCACTACCTCCATCTGGACCACCACTTCTTCCACGTCCTCCTCCCCGTCCACGTCATCACCAAGTACCTAAAAGTTAAGTCGAGTTTAGAGTAGGTACAACATTAAGGTATTTATAATTCTAAATAATTAAATATATAATATTATTTTTGTGCATTGAAAGTCAAAATGCATACTCAAAGAGAACTGCTGCACTAACGTAACAACGTATAAACCAATAGTAGAATGTATAAACTTGACTGTATAAGCACAATATTAAGTAAACAATATCAGATATTTAAACATAATCTATAGTTTGTGGGTAATGTGGAATTTATTTGAAATATCATAAACATGTCTAAGAGTACCACATAAAAAGATATGATATGATAAAAACTTACAAATAAAGGAGAGTAGACCTGAGTCAGTTAGTAAATAGTATAAATATTTTGTCCATTGATACTCATAATAAAAGTACATATTTAATATAATCTTGTATTGGTTAGGTTTAATGTGCATTTCTATGAAATTCTTATAGGATAAGTTGAATGTAAGGTTTATATCTATAACAACTATGTATCAAATAACACACATCAGTAGTAAATATGTTACTCTGTAGTATATTTAGTTGTATAAATAAAGTAAAGAAAGTATTGAACACTACGGTAAAACACTTATGTTTGATTGAATGAACTATATAATAAGCCATATGTATCTATCGAATAATAAAATTAAGTCTAACAACAAAAAATTGAGTTTAGAGTAGGTACAATATTAAATATATACTCAAATTAGCTTTAAAATCAAGAACCAATCAAAAAACAAATAAATTCCCAGAAGAATGTTTAATTGGTTGAAAAGGTATTGTACTGCATAACAGTAAGTGTTACATTGAAATCATATTGTAGTTCAAATCATTTTTCAAAGAGCTGTACAAAATAATGATTAATTGAACACCTACATCTAAGCACTGTGCAACCTAACATCAATACAATCTATTGTATTGAGTATTAAAATAATATAAACATTTTTAAGAGTAACTTTTACATATTTAATATAATCTGTGTTGGTTAGGTATGAAATGATAAAATACCTATCTAGTACACAACTTACAAATAAAGGAGAGTAGACCTGAGTCAGTAATAGATAGTAGTAGTAGTAAGAAAATGTTTAAGTATGTTGTTCATTGGTTGTAAATACCCATAATGAAAGTTAAAATACAGTGAGTTGAACTTTTAACGGTTGTGTGTTCATACATAACAGTAAGTGTATGTACTCATATGCAATAAGTGCATTCATATGAAATTATTATATGATAAGTTGAATGTAATGTTTATGTTACACTAATAAAATCATACATGGTGTAAATTATTTCTTAAAGAGTCATCAATGTGATAAAATAATATGCTACACTGTAGTACAAACAAAGTTAGTTGTATGCATAAAGTAAAGAAAGTGTAAAAAGGAGAGGTTTGTAAAGAGTCCAGTAATACCTACTTTGTTTAGAAGTAATATTAAGAAAATGTAACAAAACGTTAAGTATTCTGTTTAGGTCAATATACCCATAGTAAAAGTTGATATATTAGTATAGTTATAAGTTATTAGTCAAGGTGAAACAGCAGTAACACAATTGAATGTCGTCCAAGTTATTCGACAATGTAATGTCTATACAATTAAAATATAATAAGTTGTACCGAGCCAGTATAGTATAAGTATTAGGTACAGTAAAGTAATAAGAAATATGTATCTAAGATCCCAGTGAATAATTAAGCATGTAACGAATTTTAACCGTAGGTTAGACACTATCTACTCATTGCCATGATAAAATACCTATCTAGTACTCAACTTACAAATAAAAGAGTAAGTAGTAGCAGCAGCAGCAGCAGTAGTAGTAGTAGTAGTGATATTAAAAACTGTGTAAGAAAACGTTAAGTGTTCTGTTTAGGTCAATATACCAATAGTAAAAGTTGATGTATAAGTATAAATTTGAAACAGCGGTAACACAATAGAATGTCGTTCAAGTTTTTCTACAATTACTTTATTAAAATAGACATTTAGTTTTGAAGAATTTTGTACCGAGCCAGTATAGTATGGTAGGTATAGTAATCTGTTATGTATAGAAACAATGTACATAATATGTATCTAAGAGCACAGAGAATAATTAATGCAAGTACCTACAGTATAGTATCAAACCGTAACCACTATAAAATACCTGCCACCTGGGTATATTGAAATAATATGTGATATATTAAAGCACACTGTTAAGTGAAACGTATAGTAATGTAATGATCTAGTGAGTGAATCGGTAGGTACAGCCTGACACTATTTGTTTAAAACAGTAGTAAGTAATGGTAGTAGTAGTAGTGTTGGTTGTAAATAAATATAATAGTAAAAATAGTTAAAATACAATGAGTTGAACTTTTAATAGTTGTGTGTTCATACATAACAGTAAGTGTATGTACTAATAAGTTAATTTATATGATATTATTCTATGATAAGTTGAATGTAAGGTTTATGTTACATTAATAAAATCATACCTGGTGTATCTTCAATATGATAAAATCAAGTACACCTATTTCTATAAAGTTAGTTGAATAAATAAAGTTTGAAAATTTGAAACAGCGGTAACACAATAGAATGTCGTTTAAGTTATTCTACAATTTACTTTATTAAAATAGACATTTAGTTTTGAAGAATGTTGTACCGAGCCAGTATATTAGTATGGTAGGTAAAGTATAAGTAGGTATAGTAGTCTGTCAAGTACAGAAACAATGTATATAATATGTATCTAAGAGCACAGTGCATGTACGGATTTTTAACCGTAGCCACTGTAAAATACCTGCCACCTGGGTATATTGAAATAATAAACACATAATAATATGTGATATTTTAATGCACACAGTATTAGTGAGTGAATCTGCCATGGTAAGTGCAGCACGACACTATATGTTTAATACAGTGATCAAAGATTTTATGTTGGTTGTTACTCACTACTGATGGCACTGCTCCAGCTAATAGTCGACGGCGTTGTACGGCTGCTCCGTGGTAGTCACGACCGACAACAAAATGCCTCGAACAGAGCTTTGAATGAGCCAAGATGTGTCGAGCATTGACGCCATTGTCCACGGCAAACATCACCCATTGACGTCTCCGATCGACATTCGCTGGAAAACTAATACAATAATCATATTATTATGTTATGTTATTTCATAGAGACGTATATATTATTATTATGTAAATACCAGTGCACTGAAACGCCAACTACGTCTTCGACGTTGCCACAAATAATGCAATATTTGTTGACCATTGTTATTGCCTTGTTATTTTTATTCGCCTAAAGAAATATACATAATAAGTAAAAACATTTTGAAAAGGTAACGGCCAAAAATTTTATTATATTAGGTATAAACAAAACTCCGTGTCCACCTAATGTAATTATATTATCAGTACCTACCTATGTTATCAGTGAATAATCCGGTGTTGTGTGTTTATTTTTAGAAATGCAGTAAATTGTATTATTTGTACACTGTAGGTATATAATATTATAACGTGTACATACAGTATTGGGTATGAACTAAACAAAAGTAACATGCAATATGGTCTTGCAAGTCGTAACTGCAAAAAGCGTCGTTTAAAGATTTTTGCGAACGTAGACGTTTAATCCTTTGTCCGGATAATATGAACGCGGCAAGCGGAAATACAAATGTCGTATTAGTATTGAATACGAAACGCGTAAAGGTGGAAATGGCTTGTATATAGTAATAAGTAATATCTTGTGTACGGAAACGCATCGTAGAAGATAAATCCAGCTCGTGTACCTACGTACAATGTCACGAATAAGCCGGCCAGTAGGTACGCGGGCTATACAAACGTTATGCTATTAATTATTATTATGTATTTCAAAATTGTACTCACCGGTTTTGAAGAGCGCCCAACGCAGAACACAATTCGCCAAGAAAAGCTAAATGCCTAATGGCCTAATATAATATATATTATAATAATAAAGTTTTTCTGTGGGCTTGGGTTGTGTATTGCACGGGCGTTCGTCACAAGATGACAATGGATAACACAGGCGCGTTTCGCCTGAAGTTTTTCGCAAAAGTTATCCCCCGCACGTCACCACTCCACCATCCCACCCGTTTTATATGGTCATACTGTAGCATTGTGTGTATCGTTGATATTGAAGAGATGTTCGTAATATTATTAACCGTCCGACGCGCTTAAGCCATAAATAATCGTACGTCTCAAGCATATTTTTGTATATTATGTACATAATTATGTAGGTAGGTACCTATGTACAGTAAATACAGACAGAATCGAACGTCGTTTATAATAGATCAAACCACAGAACTGCGTTTACCTAAAAACTGTAATATATTAAGTACCTACTACATTGCATATTATTATATATCGATCCCATCAAACGACCAAACCTACCTATAATAATATAAGTAATAGAGTAGTCATATAATTGTACAATTTAACTGCTGGAATTTAATATTGTATTAATCTGTAGCAGTATTTTAACCTAACCAAATATGACTCACCTAAAAACTATAATATATCGAGTACCTACGGCATAGTATATTATATATATTTTTATAACATGTTATTGTATACTTATAAGTGAATTCCTTTGTTTCCGGTACCTAGTTACGCTCTATTAGTCTATCAATGTTATGTACCTACTCTTGGACTAC